GGAAGGAAGGAAGGAAGGAAGGAAGGAAAGAAAGAAGGATGGGAGGGAGGGAGGAAGGGAGGGAGGAAGGAAGGATGGGAGGGAGGAAGGAAGGAAGGAGATGAGAAGAGAGAGGGAGGATGGAAGGAAGCCAGGAGGGAGGGAGGGAGGGAAGGAAGGAAGGAGATGGGAGATGGTAAGTCCTCAAACTCCCTCCCTTCTGTTTAGTGACCGTTCCAAGTTACAACAACACTAACAAAAGTGACCTACGGCCTTTTCCCCACTGATGCCCAGGGCAGCGTCCCCATGGCCACCCGCTCAAAATCCGGGCGCTTGGCAACTCGCTCATATTTGTGACAGTTTCATGGGATCCCCCTTTGGAGGCCTCCTGACAACTGCAGCCCATGGGGAAACCGGATTGGCTGAACGGCCGTGTTACTCACTTAACAACCACTCAACCACCGTGGCCAGAAAAGCCGTACAAACGGAGCAAGACTCGCTTAGCAACAGAAATTTTGGGGTCCGTTACGGTCGTAAGTTGAGAACTACCTGTAGCATCCCCCGTATCACCTCAATATATGGGCATTCCCACTTCTTCCGACGGTCCTGTTTTTAGGCGGCCCAAAGCTTTCCGTCTGAGCTCCAAAATCGCTTACTTGCATGCTGTGCGCGATTTCCTCCCGGTCGGAGAGGATCTGAGAAAGGTTTTTGGTCCCCAGCACGTTCCTGAGCGTCGTCTGAGCCAGCAGCCGAGTAGCTGAGTCTGCGTTGGTGATGTTGGCGACGGCGAGGGTGGCATTCTGCACCCGGTAGTAGACCACCCCGTCCACGTTCACCGTCACGGAATCCTTGGTGAGAATCTGAGCGAGACAGAGAAGAAGGCCCGGAGAGTCAGCCCTTGTTTACAAACTGTTAGTAAGGCTGACACCGCAGCTTATTTCCAAACAAACAGGAGAGCTTGCTTTGGGGAATCAGCTAATTAGTCAAAAGGAGTTCTGGACTATTGCATAACTCTGCGCTAAGAACTTTTCAGCTGGCGGCCAGCGCTTGTCAAGAGTTTGGGGAACCCCTGAACCCCCACTGCCTTCTGGCACAGAGGACATTACCTAGAGGGGTAAAGAAACGTCTGCAAGAAAACAACCAAGCTCAGGAAGCACCACGGATGCCATAGAAAGAGAAACACAGATAAGCAGGGATTAGCACCAGACAAACAATCAAGCAGGAAACAATACCTTAATCAAGGAAATACCAAGAGGGGAAAAAACACATTCCCCGTCAACAATTAGAGCAAGCCACTAGTGTATAAAATCAGAGAAAACCCCACTCCCTTCTAGCACTGATGATGTCACCTAGTTGGGTCATGAAACCGTCTGTAAGAGAACCAACAACTTTAGAGAGCACCCAGGACCCCACAATCTTCATTCTCCTCCCCACAAGCCCCTCTCCCTTCTAACACTGATGATGTTACCTAGTTGGGTCATGAAACGTCTGCAAGAGAACCACCAAGTTTAGAGAGCACCCAGGGCCCCACAATCTTCATTCTCCTCCCCACAAGCCCCTCTCCCTTCTAACACTGATGATGTTACCTAGTTGGGTAATGAAACCGTCTGTAAGAGAACCACCAACTTTAGAGAGCACCCAGGACCCCACAATCTTCATTCTCCTCCCCACAAGCCCCTCTCCCTTCTAACACTGATGATGTTACCTAGTTGGGTCATGAAACGTCTGCAAGAGAACCACCAAGTTTAGAGAGCACCCAGGGCCCCACAGTCCTCCTCTTCCTTCTCCTTTCCCTCCTCCTCTTCCTCCTCCTCCTCCTCCTCTTCCCAAACCCCACTCCCCTCTAGCACTGATGATATTCCCTAGTTGGGTCATGAAACGTCTGCAAGAGAACCACCAAGTTTAGAGAGCACCCAGGGCCCCACAGTCCTCCTCTTCCTTCTCCTTTCCCTCCTCCTCCTCCTCCTCCTCCTCCTCCTCTTCACAAACCCCACTCCCCTCTAGCACTGATGATATTCCCTAGTTGGGTCATGAAACGTCTGCAAGAAAATCAGCCAAGCTCAGAGAGCACCAAAGAGCGGCCACAAGGGTGTGCCCGGTATCTGTGGGGGAATGAGCTCCCAGGGGTTAGTGTGTACCTTGCACATCCTTTGCATGACATTGCAAAACACAAATTAAACCTTAAGTGGCAAGGAGTTCCCTTGGTTGCCTTTTTCCACTCTTCAGAGCTTGCATCTCAACTCACCTTGAAGGCTAAAACAGTTTGCAATCTACAGAGGGCCCTCAACTTACTAACTGTTCATTTAGTGACCGTCCCGAGTGACAACAGCGCTGGGGGAAAAGCGACTTTTGACCGTTTTTCACAGCTACGACCTTCCGCGTGATCGAGGAGCAGTTGGAGGAAGAGGAAGAAGAGGAGGAGGAAGAAGAAAAGAAAGAAGAGGAGGAGGAGGACCTGCCACATCTTCTCAGAGGCAAGCAAAGAAGAAGGATCTCCACAAACCAGGAATAAACAAGCATTTACGGCAGCCGCTTCGCACCTCAGTAGCCTGCTCAGTTCCTTCTGCAGTGCCCCAATTTTCTCAGCCACTCGGCAGATCAAGCAGAAGTGAAACTCTCCAGGAAAACCCCCATTGTGTGCAGCTGTGCATCGAGCTGGCATCTCAACTGCACAATTTGCCCGTGCGGTGTGGCCTGGAGAATCCAGTGGGAGATGGGCAGTAGAGGCTATTGATATCCAGTAGGCTCCAGTAGCCAAGCGACCAAGCGAAGGGAACACTTACTTCCTGCGGTGGAATATCAAAGGAGATGGTCCTCATGTCCACTTTGATGATGTTGTCCGTACAAGGCAACACAAAAAACAGCCCTGCAGGGGGGGGGGGGGAAATATTGAATTTAGGGGCACCGGGTACACGGAAGATATTTTGTCCAGCTTTCCCCCCACCTGGTCCCTTCTGTAGTCCTCACAATTCCCCCCCAAAAAACCCCGATCATCGGAGGGCGTCGCAAGGGTCATTCTGCCTTCACCGGAGTCCCATTTTATGAAATATTGAAAGATGGAACAAGAAGCATGGAGCGAAGGAGATATAACCATACAGAATAACAGAAGAGTTGGAAGGGACCTTGGAGGCCTTCTAGTCCAGCCCCCTGCTCAAGCAGGAATCCCTATGCAATTTGAGACCAATGGATGTCCAGCCTTTTCTTTAAAACCTCCAGCACCCACAACTTCTGGAGGCAAGGGGACCTTGGAGGTCTTCTAGTCCAACCCCCTGCTCAGGCAGGAAACCCTATCCCATTTCAGACAAACGGCTGTCCAGCCTCTTCTTAAAAACTTCCAGTGTTGGAGCATTCACCGCTTCTAGAGGCAGGTGGTTCCACTGGTTAATTGTTCTAACTGTCAGGAAGTTTCTCCTTAGTTTTAGGTTGCTTCTCTCCTTGATTAGTTTCCACCTGCTGTTTCTCATCCTGCCCTCTGGTGCTTTGGAGAATAATCTGACTCCCTCTTCTTTGTGGTAGCCTCTCAAATACTGGAAGACTGCTATCCTCTCACCCCTAGTCCTTCTTTTCTCTAGACTAGACTTCCATATGAATGGAAGCTACCGAGAAATGCACTGTATGGTTTTCTAGCACACACACAACCCTTCCCTCTCTGTGTGCCATATTCACAACTCACCTGGCCCCTTTGCACCTCCTTTGAGGATACGTCCGAGTCTGAAGATGATGGCCCGCTCATATTCCTTGACAATCTGTAATAGAGATAAGAGGAAGCCACAGTTGGTTTTCTAAGCATTGCTTTAAATAATCTATACACCCCAGTCTGTTCCCCCCCCCAGTCTTCACATCTAACATGTGCGGACCAAAATCTAGAGGAGTAGATCACACAGGACCACACAGGGATGTCAAAAACTCTTTTGTTT